AACCCTGAGTTTTTACATAGATGATAAGACTTATTTGGTTTTTGCCGTGTTCTCAAGATTCATGGTTTATATACTTGAATTGATGCTAGTTTTAGTAATAAAAAGAAATTTAGAATTTAAACGTCGATGTTAGAAGCTTGTACTGATATTTAAGGGGTTAAAAAAAATAAAGTTTTATTAGTTACCTATAGCGACACACAAGTCATAATTTGCATGTGTGAATACTTGGAGTACTTTCTAATTGGTTCATGTGTGAAGACTTGGAGTACTTTCTAACTGGTTCAAGTGTGAAGACTTGGAGTGCTTTCTAATGAAAAGTGTGCTACTGCGGAAATTCAAAACTGGTACGTAGCTTCAAAGTCAAGAATATGCCATAGGCATGTGATGCATTAAATGCATGAGGCACATAAGTCATAATTTGCGGCAACATATACGTATATGTGTGTGAATTGAAGAAGAAGGTTACAGCTCAAAGACCATATATATTCATTTCCTCTTTATTTGTTATTAATTACTTCTCCCACTTCACTTATATAAATCATCACATTCTTACCGCAACTTTTAACTTCTCCCTCACAAATGGATCCACCTGCAGATCATCAAAACCCCATATATGACCTCGATTGGTTTCCGTACTTTGATCATCAAGATCTTTTCAGGTATATATAAACGTCACTCATTACCCCATCTTTCGCACAAAAAAGTGATTTTGTCTATATTGATCAAAACATGGTTTGGATTTCTAGTGATCAAAAAGAGTCTTCTATCGTGTTGGATTTGATTATCTTGAGTTTTTGGATTTTTGCAGTGGTGACAGGCTCGACCATCATGATTACGAGTTGTTGGAAAAATTGCATGAAGTGCTCGATCAGAACGTTTCCACAGTACTTAACAAAGATCAAAACATCATTTCTAGAAATGAGTTTCACGATTTGGATCCACTTGAAGATATAAGCTTATGGGATTGTTGGGAGGATGGTAATTTACCATTGGTTAGTTTCAGTGAAGACTGTAAATCCGGTGGTGAGGCTACATGTAGTTCTAGTGTTGCCACCACTGATCACGGTGGCCGGAAGGTGGCAAAGAGATTGAGACCATTGGAGTTTGAAGAGATAGCGAAGTACTTTGAGATGCCGATAATCATGGCAGCAAAGGAACTAGGGATAGGGTTAACATTGTTGAAGAAAAGATGCAGAGAGCTAAACATAAACAAATGGCCTCATAGAAAACTTAAGAGCCTTCAATCACTCATTCACAATGCCAAGGTAAACTACGATAATAACCTTCTATACATTACTCATGCATGTATGCATGCACTTTGTAACCAAAGTAGTTTTGGTATTTTCTAAAATTTTAATTATTAGTTTCTTTATAACATAAACATAGGCCCTAGGCATATGCCACATCGAATCAATTGTTTTACTACGATTTCTGATTTATATTTACATAAACTTAACTCATTGTAAATTTTGTGAACTCACACGAAAAATATATTGCATCTACCTAAAAAAAACTTGGAGTTGGGATTAAAGGAGGAGGTAGAGACGTTAGCAGGGTACAAGAAGATGATGGATAAATTGCCAGGTATGGAATTGACAGAAAGAACAAAGAAGCTTAGGCAAGCTTGCTTCAAAGCTATTTATAAGAAGAGAGGACTTAACAATCCTTAGTCCTTACCTTTTCTTTTAGCCATTTTGTTATAATTAGTGGATTTAAATCTACATTGTATGTGTTTTTCTCTTGATAGATTGATACCCTTTTTAGTTTCATTGTGTTTGTCTATTGATTTTTTTATGCAGAAAATTTTGTATAATTTGGGTATTATAGTTTGTATTATGTATTTAGCTATATTCTAGATTGCCGACACGACTACGCTGACGACTCTATACCGGAGGTCTATATAAATAGACTTATGAATTTAGTAGGAATAACTTCATTATAATCTTGTGATTTGTTCCATCTCTGATCCACTCCTAAGATTCACTCGACATGCCCCCAGTTATGTGTAATTAAAATTTTATTAGACTGTTGATCCTAATGAGTCTACCCTAAGTCCACAACCAAACAAGGAACATGTCAACTATAAGAAACACGCATATGGACTTGTGAGTTATTTGTAAATTGATTAGGGAAATAAAGTTTTTTTTAGACATTGTTGGGTAAAATAATTGTAAAACACTTGTTGGGCCATGGTTAGGAGTGTTGGGCACCTTTGGGCTTTCCATGGTTACTAAATGTGAAACATGTAGCACTTGCGTGGGCCCCCACAAAACTAAGTTTTCACATTTCTTTCCCACTTCTAGGCCCATTAGGAACTTAATAGTCCAATGAGTTGGCCATTTTGGAGTGTATCCTTTCGGATACGTTTGATAAGGTCGGGTATTTTAATGGCTCAAAAGTAATGTGAATGACGCGCTTTGCCCTATAGGTTTGGGAACTCTCGCCTTTGGTCCCCAGATAAGCAAACTGGTCCCTCGGTTGATTGGGATGTATACGAATGCTTACCTAGTCAGGACTTTCGGGCTACCGGCACCTCCCCCTTCCAGTTACTACGCGTCCATTACTATGATCCTACCCAACTAGAGTGGATGACTTTGAATTTCCTATGAGCTCTAAGGAATACATATATGTATATACATTTTGTTAAACAACTTGAATATGTGTGTGATTTTCAGAGAAAGTGGAGAATATTCACAAGTGTATGCACACATATAAGTGTCAGGAGTAATACGTATGCACATAAGGGAGCAATTAACACACAAAGGTATTCCTAGGATTTTCTAAGTGTGAATTGCATGCAGTTGTGTGTGCATTTTATAAACTAGCATACGAGAGGACCCTAGAGGCTATAGACTAGGTCAAGGCAATTAACCTAATTCCCTATAGTCAAGGGCTCTGATACCAATCTGTCACACCCCGATCCTTGTCGGAATCGATCGAGGCGTGATATATTGTTCAAAGTCTCATGACAACTATGTTATAATATGATTAGATTCAATTAAGTACTAAGTATGCAAACAAGATCCACAACATACAAATACAAATCTAAATATGAACAACATTTATTACATCAAATTTAAATAGTCTTGTGGATTTCTAAGGCACAACCTAATTTTCATCAACTTCATTCTTCAAATCTGCATCATTGGTAAAAACAGGTCAACTACGAGAGTTGGTGAGTAATCTAATTTTAGTAGAGAAAATTGTGAACTTGAAACCTTTATAATTGGAAATTTGTTTTCTTTTGAAGTCGGCAAACAATTGTATTTGAGATAACGGTTTATAAATCAAAAATTGATTAACAAATGATAACAACAACAATAAGTCCTCACCCTATATATACATATGTATATATATATAAATATATATAGGATGGAGCATCTAATCATCATACACACTCAACCATGTGCGATCAATCACCTTAGCGTCCCAAGGCGGGGTGGTCAACTCAATAGCGCTATTATTGTCCATAACGTACCTCAAGAATACGGGCATAGTCATGGAGATTATACTAAAAATGGTAATGCACTACAAGTACATGTAGCGTAAACAAACAATAGTTATACAATTAATGACTCACGTATAAATGTCCCAACAATGTCTCAATTGTGATAAAACAATAAAATGAAGTTGGAACATATTAGAACCACATGATACACCCCAAAAGTATTGAAAATTATAAAATATGGGGTAGATTACTCACTTTAGTCCCAAAACGAAATGCGTGTGTCGTACGATAGACGATTCGGGTCAAAATGGCGTAGAACCTAATATAATTAATAGTTTTGGTTTAGGAACTGCTAAACGAGAATGGAGTATTAATACAAATAATTAGACATATATTCTTATATTAGATGAATTAACAATAATTCATTTTGATTATAATATTAAGGTATTTATTTGTTAAATGAATTACTTACTTTGCATAATTAATTTATATTTTCAATTTAGGCAGATTTTAATAATTTCTTATTAAAATAATAACTTGCCCAATTATAATTATTTACAGATTTTAACAATTATTTATATGAAATAATCATTAAAATGCATTTTTACATGCTTAAATACTTAGGAAAATAGTTTTAAATAGTAAACAGTATTGAAAAATTATGAAATTATTAGGAAATCATTATTTCATACAATATGAATTACTGTAAAATTTGTATATTTTTCTGAACTGTTTTAGTATTTATTTAATATTTTAATGATTAAACAACACAAAATTCAGGAAAAATAGTAAATGATTCTCAAACAATCTGTAAAATTAACCATAGTTTTATAACATTATGTAGAGCTCAGTGTATAAGTTTCAGATATTTGATTTGACCGAAATTTGATGGTTGTCACAAACAGGGTGAAATATTTGTACTCTGATGGCTATATATATATATATATATTATCACATTTTAATGGATTTTGAAATTATTGAATGATGGTTTTGATAGTTTTTAAAATAAAATTTGCACATAGTATTTTTGGGACTTTACATTAAATAAGTTCAGTGACTACTAATAGCTTAAACATAGTGTAATGATTAAAATAAAACATCGAAAAAAATTTGGCGACTAAAAATGACCTAAACTTTTAGAATAAATAGATAATACTTGAGGTTAAAAATTATTATGAATTAAAAAAAGAATAACTACCTATGTTTTGTCTTATTGACAAAAAAAACCACTCTTGATATGTTGTTTACAATTTAACCAATGAAATGAGAATGTATGCAGAAACCAAAAAATTGAACCCAATTGCAAGTAATAGTTGGTTCCAACGGTTAAATCACCAAAAAAATTGATTTTTTTTGTCAATAAAACCAAAATATAAAGATTATATTTCGTTTAACCATGTTAATTTTGTGGTTGTTTCATAGTTAAATGGCAAAAAAAATGATTTTTTTTGTTAATAGAATCCAAAATATAAGGATTTTATAAACCACAAAATTAACAGAAGAGGCAGCAGATCTGTGCCTTTTACCCGGTTTCCACAAAATTCACGCGGTTTCACAGCGAGCTCATGAGGCGGCGAACAAACAGCACGCCTGTGCCTTTCACCCGGCTTCCAAGCAGCACGGAAACAGCGATCATGCCGCCAAGACCTTCCAGATATGAACCGCTAGCCTCCACGTGACTTCGATGCGTCTCGGGACGACCAAACCGCCCTCCAAGAACTGAGACGTTGCTATTCTGATTTCTCCCTGTACCTTCTATGCGGCTTCGAAGTGCCTTCGTGAGGCCAAGATGACACAGCTTGGTCTTTGAGCATGAAATTTTAAAGTCAAAATTATCATCTTTTAATGTAAACCTATGAAATATAGGTGATTCACCATTTCACTGTCAATTTATGTATATTTTTCAAGTTATTTGAACGCTTCAAAAGCATTTTATGACAATGCTTTTCACTCCACAAGTTATGGAGAAAGGACTTAGAATTGTAAAAACCTATGATATATTGGTGATTGGTCAACCACTTCACTGTCACTTTGTGTATATTTTTCAAGTAATTTGAACGATTTTCTTTTCACTCCACAACTTATTGAGAAAGGACATAAAATTGTAAAACTTATGAAATATTGGTGATTGGTGAACCATTTTGCTGGCAATTTGTTTATATTTTAACCCCACAACTAATGGAGAAAGGACTTAGAATAGTATAACCTATGAAATATAGGTGCTTGGTGAACAATTCAATGTCAATTTGTGTATATTTTCAATTCATTTGAATGTTTCAAAACTCTTTTATGACAATGCTCTTTTCACTCCACACCTGATGGGGAAAGGACATAGAATTGTAACACCTATGAAATATTGGTGATTGATGAATCATATCACTGTTAATTTGTGCATATTTTTTAAGTCATTTGAAAGCATTTTTTTTTCACTCCACAACTTGTGGAGAAAGGACATAGAACTGTAAAACCTATAAAATATTGGTGAATGGTGATTGATGAACCATTTCATTGTCAATTTATGTATGTTTTTCAAGTCATTTGAACGCTTCAAAAGTCTTTTATGACAATGCTCTTGTCACTCTACAACTTATAAAGAAAGGACTTAGAATTGTTAAACCTACGAAATATTGGTGATTGATGAACAATTTCAGTGTCAATTTGTGTATATTTTTCAAGTCATTTGAACGTTTTAAAAGGATTTTTTGACAACGTACTTTTCACTTCAGAACTTATGGATAAAGGACTTAGAATTGTAAAACCTATGAAATATGTGTGATTGATGAACAATTTCACTGTCAATTTATGTATGTTTTTCAAGTCATTTGAACGCTTCAAAAGACTTTTATGACAATGTTCTTTTCACTTCACAACTTATGGAGAAAGGACTTAATTAGAATTGTAAAACCTATTAAATATTTTTTGTTGATGAACAATTTCACTCACAATTTGTGTATATTTTTTCAAGTTATTTGAATGCTTCAAAAGTCTTTCATGGCAATGTTATATAATTTTTCTGAGGTGTGGACCTCTTTTCATACGGAGAAAGGACTTAAAATGGAAGAAGTATTGCAATTTATATTGACTGACTTGTATGATTATTATTACAAGTGGCCTAAGAAAATTAGGGTGCCATTTTGTTGTGACTAGAAACCAATCATTTATGAACTCTAGGACTTATCCATAGGTTTCAACTGTCAGTTCTATAAAACCCTATACTGGTAATATGTTTCTGTATATAATATGATATCTGTCATCACTCTTTCTCTCAATCTATCTCTCTGTCCATATTTTTTTGTACAAGTCATGTTTTTCACAAAACGTAAGAGTTTAGTGAGGTTTTTGCTTCTCCTGTTGTTTTCTGTAACCATAAATCTTTGATCTGGACCCAAAATTATATCTGCAAACCAGTCTCTCTCTGGAGACAACACAATCATATCCCAAGGTGGGCAGTTTGAGCTTGGTTTCTTCAAAGCAGGTAACTCTTCCAATTATTACATATGCATCTCGTATAAAAAGGTCTCCTCCAATCCTCCTACCATATTTTGGGTGGCAAATAGAGAAACACCTATCTCTGATAGATTCCGTTCAGAATTAAAAATCATTGATGGTAATTTGGTGCTCTTGAATGAGTCCAAATTCCAGTTTTGGTCCACAAATGTCACCACCACCACCACTTTGAATTCTTCAACAGCACTTATTCGTGATGATGGTAACTTCGTTTTGATTGACAGCTCAAATTCAGTTGAACCTTTTTGGCAATGTTTTGATCACCCAGCTCATACTTGGTTACCTGGTGTTAAACTTGGTTATAATAATAATATAACAAAAACGAGCTAGGTTCTTACATCATGGAGAAGCAAAGAAGATCCTGGTGTAGGACTCTTCACTTTGGAGCTTTATCTGTCAAGATAAGAGTATGTAAGCAAGTGGAATGGCTCTCAGCAATACCGGAGTAGTGGGGCTTGGAATGGGAATTCGTTTGACTTAGTACCTGAAATGAGGTTGGATAACATATTTAATTACAGCCACAATACGAATGAGAACGAGAGTTACTTCACTTATTCTGTGTATAATCCTTCCATTATTTCTATATTTATAATGGATGTTTCTGGTCTAGTTCAGCAACTGGCATGGTTGGATAAAGCCAAAGAGTTGAATTTAATTTGGTTTGAACCTACAACGCAGTGTGATGTTTATGCTTTGTGTGGGTCTTTTGGAACTTGCAGGCAGTCTGGATTATCTTTCTGTAATTGCATGACTGGCTTCAAGCCTAGATCTGAGAGTGACTGGAATCAGAGTGATTTCTCCGGTGGATGTGTGAGAAAAACCAATTTGCAGTGTGGGAGAAACGTTGAAAAGCCTGGTTTTCTCATGATTACTGTCAAGAGTCTGCCACCAAATAACTCTACAGCAGTTGGGAGTGCTGGAGAATGTCGTACCACATGAACAATTGCTCATGTAATGCTTACTCTTTTGTTGATAATCAGTGTTTGGTTTAGGATGGAGATCTCTTGAACCTCTCTGAAGACAATGATAGTAGGAAAACAATTTTTGTCAAAGTCGCTTCTAAAGATCTTCCACATCACAAGAAGAGTAATCTGGTCACCATGGGTGCTGTTGTTGGGTCTGTGGGAGGTGCACTTCTCGTCCTGGGTGTAACACCCAAAATTTTTAAGCCAATTTTAAACTTTTTCAAAACACTTGAAACCATTTAAACATTACATAGTTTGTTTTCGAAATACTAATTATCAGAGTATCCCAGTATCAAATCATAAAAATCATAACAGCAGGAGGAGCGGTACGATCATGCCTTTGCCTTCCTGCGATCACCAGAGGTACCTGAAACAACAACTGAAACTGTAAGCCCGAGAGCTTAGTGAGCTATCCCCCAAAATACCAATCTCATAACCATATCATATAATCAAATAGGCAAACAACATGCATAATGAGCCTTCAGCCTGACTGGACCGCCTCGCAGGCCTTCAATCTATCTGGACCGCTCTTCGCGCCTTCGGCACGTCTGGACCGCCTCGCAGGGACTACAGCCTATCCGGACCGCTCGTCGGGCCTTCGGTCTGACTAGCATCCCCTCTTGGGTCTGTAGTATATCCGGACCGCCCTGGGTATGTTGGCCTTCAGCACAAAGCAGGACCGCCTCAACCCAACCCCCAAATCAAACAACATGTGCATATACAATCATATGCTATCATAATAACAGTTAAATCGATCTAACATATCCAAATAGCATAGCAACATCCTATAACCAGGACATCGACCGAACCACGTCACTAAGCATAAGCATATCACCACCCTAACTAACAGGATGCAAAACAATAAACATATCATGTAATAATCCGGATACAAATTCATAAAGGGCCGGCATTGGTGCCTTAGATCCTGTTGATATAGTGAGGATAACTCACCTCTCAAGTGTCGTCCGAAACTAGAAAGCTCAACTCTCGGATCACCAACACGAACTCCACCACCTATAGTTACCATACAACCATTTTTCATAAATTTCCAAATTACCAGAATACCATCAGAAGTCAACTGGTCAACCCTTGGTCAAAGTCAAAGTCCACAGTCAAAGTCAACAGTCCATGTTGACTCGACTCGTCGAGTGCAGTTCACCGACTCGTCGAGTCCTTCCTGAACTCGAGAAGTCGTGAAATCCTTAGTTGGCTCGTCGAGTTCCCTTTTAACTCGCCGAGTTCATACGTGTCCAAAGATTGGGAAAAACCCTAGCCGACTCGCCGAGTCAGTCGACTGACTCGTGGAGCCCAAGGCAATATTCATCGGACTCGCCGAGTTGTTCATCAACTCGACGAGTTCATGGCCATCTTCATATGACTCGCAAAGTTGACTATGCAACTCGCCGAGTCCTTGCAGACCTTCATCCATGCAGACACTTTTTAAGCCATGCCAAGGTTCCAGATTATAGATCCAAGCTTCTAAGACATGTTTATCACGTAAAGTTGCAAACTTTACACGCATGCAAGGCCCTAAAGGCTCTAAATGACCAATCTAAGCTTCAAATGGAGCTTTACACCTTAGGAGAGTCTCATCCTTGCAATATCTGGAAACTTTATGGACTTAGGACTCAAAAGAGGTTCAGATCTGAAGTCTCAGCTTCAGATCTAGCTCCCATACAAAAATCCCTTCATGAATAACTAAAGAAAGCCCTAGCCTCCGCATATGAATGATTGTAGAAGAAAAGAGGTCAAGGTAACAACTTATTACCTCCATGGCGTGCCCAAACTGAAGTAGACTCTGGATCCACACGAAATCCTTGATGCTAGCCTCTTGATCTACAAGTTTCCTTCACAAAAATCACTTCTCAAAGCTCCAAAACACTCTCTAAGCTCACACTCACGGAAATTAGGGTTTCTGGCTCTCAAGGGGTGATAGAGGACAGTGGGAGGCACTAATGGTGCAATATATATAAGGTGCAAAAACCCTGAAACTTAGGGTTTCCACTACCAGCTCCTACTCGTCGAGTCCCCCATGCCGACTAGACGAGTCACTCATTAAATGACGTGTCCTGGCCCGCTGCTACTCGACGAGTAACAACGTCAACTCGTCGAGTAGACCTTAAAACATGGAATCTAAATGGAATAATAATTATACCTGATGGTTGGGATGTTACAATTCTCCCCCACTTAACTTAGACTTCTTCCTCGAAGTATACTGTAGCGAATAACTGCGGGTAATGCTCCCGCATCTCAGCCTCCGACTCCCATGTCCACTGGGATCCCCTCCGATGCTCCCATTTTCATGGAGCTGGGAGCGTTCTTTGGCGGGCGCGAGCCCCTTGCCTGGGCATTCTGTCCACAGAGGCGCTGGCGGGCGCTGAGCCCGCTGGGCTTAGCCCGGCTGGA